ATATATGTATATACATACACATATACACAGATCATAATATCTTGCAGTATCATTGTAGACAATACACGAACGAGGACATCCTTCCACTCTCATAAACCTACCCCCCCCAGGCTCGAAAATCCCGAAGTCTCCAACCCCAAACTTCGAAGCCCCCTAAACCCTACACCCTAAACCCTAAACCCTAAAACGTCGAGTCGCAGCTTCCGCTTCGACGCCGTTCAGCTCCCGCGACTTTCGCTGGCAGAGACCTCTGGGGCTTTACCTCCCAGGTTCCTACTATAGAGGGTACTAGAGCCCCTAGGGCCCTATATAGTAGGTACCTGGAGGGTTAGGGTAAGTGTGTTGCGCCGCTGAAGCGGGGCGGAGGTTGAGGATTTAGGGAATTTAGGGTTTAGTCGGAATTTTGAAGGAATTACAACCTAAACCCGAAGCCCCCAAAGCTGTAGTCATATAGGCCTTTTGGGGTTTGGAGCTGAAGAAATGGATGTTGTTCTAAATTAGGGGAGCCATGCCCAGGCATTAGGACAGGGCTTGAGCCAGCCCTTGCGCCGTCTTGCGCGCGCAGGGGATTGTACTGGTGTGAACATAAACATAACCCCTTCACAAACAATTACACATGCCCCAAGCTACAGCGGTAAATTGACATGTCTTTCGACTTGCTCACTTTAGTGCTTGACGGTTGAGGCTGGACGAGGCCTTGATTACTTACATAGCCTCCTTAGTCCAGCTATACCGGGATAAGGGATTGTAACACTTGGTAAACTCCAATACAAAGCCATGCATACGAACACAAAGCTGTACATATGTTATCATGTATCTTGCGCCCACCCTTGCGCGAGCTTGCGCGCGCACGGTTTTTCACTATTTTTCACCACCATGCAAACTACTAATGCCTGCCCTACTCTTCCTACAAGAGGCGGGGTTTAGAACGGCATCCAAATGAAAATTGATGTAGAGCTCGGAACTTGAGAAACCTGATGTTCTGGCATCATTTGTAAGCCGGCTAGACTCTGCTACTGCAGTGCAGAAGTCTGAAAAGAATAAACTCCTCTACCCCAAATATAACCTGGAGCCCTAAACTCTTACACCCTGAAGCCCAACCCCAAACTCTCCAATCCTTAAAACGCACCTCCGACAACATCGAGAAACGGAAGTGCTCCCTGCCTGGCTGACGGCACAGCTTCAGAACGGCGCCCGACAGCAGCACAGGTCTGAAAGCGATCCTGGAATTGAGATTTCTAGTTGGAGGATCATGGGACTTAGTAATTAAGGTTATAAGTCCCTTAATTGGGGTTATAAGTATAGTTACCCTAATTATAACCCTACTTACAAAGTCCCATGATCCTTTAAGTAGTTGGGGATTGGGGCTATAGGGGTTTGAAGGTTTAGGGCTATGAGGGTCCTTGAGCTTTGGGTTGACCGCTCAAAGTTCAGTTTAGGGTTTTGGCTTTAGGGGTTATAGGGTTTAGGTATGATGACGGAGCTCATGGTTGTGCGCCCTGTTGCATCGGTCTGGTCTACTGCGAAGCAATACTCATGGGCCCAGGTTTAGGGACGGGACCCTCTGAACCCAAACCCCTAAACGGCCCGAAAGCCCCACGTGAGGGATCCGGCTGTTGCGTAGGGGTTTTGGGTTTAGGGTTTAGTTCAAACTTGCGACTGTGCGCACATGCACCCTCAAAAGCCCTTAATATCCAACTCCACGACTGCATACCAACTTCGCAGCACTGCACCCGAACCCCCAATCTCGAGTGCCAAGTCTCTTGACATTAACCCCTCAAGCCGCTTGTTCTCACCTAAACCCTCAACCCTAAGCCCTAAACCAAATCGTGCCAAACCTTCCCTCCCCCTCAAATCAAAACACAAAGCCAGACCTTGAAAGTCCAAATCCCTCTCCCCACCGTTGTTGCCACGTAAGGCCCCAGCTGCCCAGCACTCTCATTGAACAAGAGTGAGTTTAGGATTTAGGCTTTCGGGTTTAAGGAATCATACTAAAGCCTACAGAACCCTAAAAGCGGGACCCCCCTGGATGGATCCCAGTGGCGGCAGGTGAGGCGGAGGAGCCTGCCCAGCAAGCTCCTTGACCGAAGAGTTCGCGGCTTGAGGGCTGAGGACTTACGTACCTACGTACCTACATACATATAGGCATGTATGGATGTGTGAATTTATGCATGTATGAATGAATGAATGTAGGTATATGTATGTAGGTATGCATGCATG